CCAACCCAACAAGCCCCGTACAAGTACTGACAAGTTGGAAGAATGTGAGGTGATGGCTATCCCAAAGGGCGGGCATGCACAAGAGAGAGTTGAAACGCATCCAAGGCATCATAGCCAAGCCTGCCAAATGTCAGAGCTCTGCACAGTTGAAGCAAAATGGTGTAAAACATTTGATTCAGATTGTTAAAGTTAAACTCCTGATAGATATAACAGACTTTTGAACAGCTTTTTATTTATTAATACATCATTAAATGTATTTTTTTTTTTAAATGCGAGCATTGTAAGTACCTGAATTTCACCCTGTATCAGTGCCTTGCAGTTCCTGCTGAGCTTAGGCTGGGGAAGGGAGAAACAGCACAAGGAGACAGTCAACTGTGCTGCAGTACATTTGTGAAATAAAAGCATGCTAATGAAGGAGAGAGCAGAGTGAGAGATGAATTCATCAGTCTGCTGCTTCTCCTTCCACTTCCCACAGGTTCGGAGAGGCGGAGAGGGGACAATACATTTGTAAAAACTGTCACCTCAACGGGCTCCGTCCATTAAAAGAGAACTATGGGGTAATCTTTTAATCCCAAAGTTCTCTTTAGCGTCACGGGAGGACATATACTAACCTCCTGCCATGATACAATGCTAAGTATATAGCGAGCAATTGCCTTCTATATACTTAGAGCGCCGCAGCCAGGACTGATGCTGACATTACTGTCAAGATCTACCCAGCTGGCTGATTAACAGCAGGCTCTGCCTATCTAGAGGCAGAGCCAGCTGGTCCAACCCCCCCCCCCCCCATCCATTCCTCCAGTCAGCGTTGGAGGATCGGAAAGGAATCCCTGCGGTGAGCGGTGGCTGACAGTCACCGCTCTCTGCAGGGAGATGATGGGGAAGTGAGCGAGCGACTGTATGTGATCGCTCACTTCACGATATATAGAGCCGACGTGTGAAAGTCTAAACTGCAACAGTCTAAACTGGCAGAGAGGAACCTTTGGAGCCTGTAAATGTAGAGCAGACTGCCTCTCCTATCCTAGTGAACCTGTTCCACCTCCAGGGGTTCTTGGACTTGAGCTGCAAGAGAGGCCTTCCTCGTCAACGCAGACTCCTCTAAGGTACGTGGTTTCTGACAAAGTGATACAGCGCACGCCGGTTACTATTGAAACAGACGCTCGTTGTATCCAGCTTCTGACAGGATAAGCAAAATGCACAGCGGGCTTCTCCACTACGCTAATAGCGCAAGCTGTCAGAAGCTGGATATAGCATGCATGTTGTATCCAGCGACTGACAGGTTATGCAAAATGTCTTAACCAGGAAGGGGTGGGGCAAATTTAGATTGGGGGGGGTGCCTGAGTTTAGTTTTGCTTGGGGCAGCACAAAACCGAAATACACCACTGGTTACATATACTTCAAAATTAAAACATCCCCATTATTTCTGATAGTTGATATGTTCAGAACTCAAAGTATGATCTATTTACAATTTTGTCTCTGAAGCTTGTTCAGCTTTTTACATTATACTGTACTTTGTACTTAAATTTAATCAGTTGATGCCAATTTTACAAAGGTATATGTGTTACAGAGGTGTACGTATCAAAGCCAACATGGCATTACCTTGTAGGAAAGGAATATAGGAATGTATTTCAGTGTCAATAATTATGATAAAATTAGAGCAGAGGGGTGAGAGACTGCATTACTGTCACTGTCCCAGACTCCCTGTAAGGGAACTGGAACAAATGTCTCTTCAATATTAAAATATATAAACTGCGGGGGCGTGGCCTGAACATGGCGCCGAGAGGACGTGCATAAGGAGAGCTCCGTGGAGTGAGGGAGTAAATTTCAGTGGATCTGCTCATTAGACGCCATTACACCCCATGTCAAGAGGTACCAGGAAGTCGCGGACCCCCCGCGCCCCTCCACGCCCGCGAGTACAGGCACGATTGGACCCTTTTCTGGCCCAGCCGGCTGGGGGAGTCAGAGTCAGGGGACAGGGGACAGGCGGTCATCGGCTCCGGGCCTACAGCGTGGCGAGTGGAAGTGCCGGGACGGTCACCGGCCGCGACCCAGACACACTCCTCTCCGCGGTCCCAGATGGAGCAACCGCCATCCCCATCCAGCTCCTTGCCGGATCCGATGCTGGGGCTGGAGGTGTCCGCAGCGCAGGGGCTCCCGCAAGCGACGGGTGGATCGGACATGTCCGGCAGGCCTGACCTGTGTGCCATGCTCGCGACGCTCCCTACCAGGGACGACATGCAGGCTATGATTGCCCAGATTGCAGCTACCCTCCACGCAGATCTGGCTGAGGTGAGGGAGGGGGTCGCCCAGCACACACAGTGCATAGAGGCCTTAGAGACTGCAGACTCCGCGATCTTGGCGCGAGTCTCCCAGCTGGAGGAGGCTATGCTGACGCAGAAAGCCCTATCAATCCAACTACAGTTGAGGCTGGAGGACACTGAAAATCGCAACCGCCGCAACAATTTGCGGCTGAGGGGGATCCCAGAAGCTACAGGGGGCCAGGACCTGAGGGCGGCTGTAACAGCAATATTCAATGGCCTACTAGGGAAGCCCCCGACAGACCTGCTGGAATTGGATCGGGTGCACAGGACCCTGGGCCCCAGAGCACCCGATGTCAACAGGCCTAGGGATGTGTTGTGCCGTGTACACTTTTTCAATGTTAAGGAGGAAATCCTCCGCAATGCGTGGCGACAGGGTACTGTGGACTTTGATGGAGCTGACATCCAGATTCTGCCAGATGTGTGCCCGCAAACCTTGTACCGTAGGCGCCTTCTCAAACCCCTTACTGACCATCTCCAAGCGGGTGGGGTCCCTTATCGGTGGGGCTACCCATTCTCTCTGATGATCAGCAGAGGCGATAGATCCTTCAGATTAACCCACCCGCGCCAACTTCCTGACCTGATGGGCTTTCTTGACTGTGCACCATTCACGCTACCTGACTGGCTGGACACTCCTTTGGCTGAGGCCGCGACCACGGCATCCCACAGGGCATCGGGACCTAGGAGGCCTAGAGGGGCTCGTCAAAGATCCACATCCCGGCCTACGAGAAGGGATCGACCGGGGGATCCGGAAATCTGAACGGCTCTGAGATGCTGGGTGGACTGTCGTGGGAGTTCAGCTATACGTGACCCTCCTTGTGCGACTTTGTGTACTTGGCCCAGCTTCTCCTAATGGAGTTGCTGGCCCTATCTGCTGTGTTGGGAGGGGGGTGGCGTTTGGCTTGAGCCGGTATAGGCTTACTGCAACAGGATCACCTGTGTGCCTTATGGGAACTTTATGTGTTTGTTGGTTGCCTGTCTCACGACCCCCCGTTGGGGCTACAAAGGGAAGTGGGTGTTATGCCTCTGAATCGGATTGTCAAGAGATGGGAGGGTCAGCTGCGTTGATCTGGGCCGAGTTTTTCTTTGCATAGTGTTGTTGGGAGGCCTCCCCAGGTATAGACACGGTATTGGATGCGGGAAGGATAGCAGGCCGTAGTAGTGGGTGGGTCACTGGGTGGGGGTGGGAAGCGGGGGGGGAGCGGGTCCCATGCTGGTTTTCCGCATAGATGGTGCGGGGGCGGGATTAGGTCCCATGTTTACCTCGGGCCTGCGGGCTCCTTGCCAATGGGGTGTTTTGGTTGTCCAACGTAGTGATATATTCTCCATATCTCACTCTGCTGGCTGCTGTGTTTAGCCTTTTTCCCCAAGTTTCAGGCGTTTCCTCTCCGTGTTGGAGTTAACCCATAGGAACGCCTGGGTTGTAATTGTTTATTGCTACGTTGTTTGTTTGTTTTTCTTTCTTTCTTTCCTGCACTAGGGTCGGACATAGCCTCACCCTCGGTGCGACTAGTGCTCTATCTGTTTCTTTCTGTTATTCATCTCTGGTTGTTGTGTCCTTGTGTGAACCCAGTACCCCAACCTGTGTCTTTGTCGAGTCTTCCTTAGTGTTTGTCTGTGCCCGGTCCCGGGCCACCGGGAGCTCATCGTCGAGAGGGTATTACCCAAGGCTGTGCGCCTGACCAGCTGGACTGACCTGGGGAGGTCCCTGCGGGCCCACCAGAAGGATAACTACAGGAGCGGTGAGTTAAACCACACATCATGCCGATTGTCAATGTCACCTCCTTTAATGTTAGGGGGCTCCATGTCCCCGCAAAGAGATCAAATTTGCTGAACGAATTGTGGAGACAGAGGTCTCATGTAGCATTCCTACAGGAGACCCATTTCAAGGTTGAGCATATCCCCAAACTAGGGAATCACCGATATTCCACGTCTTATCATGCCCCGTCCCGGGACTCTAAATCAAAAGGGGTGAGCATTATTCTAGCCAAGTCCTTGCCATGGAAACATATAGACACATATGCAGACCCGGAGGGGCGCATGTTGCTAGTTAAGGGAGACCTTCATGGCCATAGGGTGACCTTGGCCACAGTATATGTCCCGAACACTGGACAGGTGACGTTCCTGGACTCCTTCTGGGAGCAGGTGGAGATGTTTGCGGAGGGTATATGGATAATAGGGGGAGATTTTAATATGGTGCTAGACCCCACGCTGGACTCCACGAGGGGAATTTCACAGATCTCACACGCCCAACGGAAGAGAGTCAAACGGTCACTGTTTGAACTCCAACTTGTTGATCCCTGGCGCATTAACGATACCACGGGCAGAGATTACACACATATGTCAGCCCCACACCAATCCTATTCCCGCATAGACTTCTTTTTGCTCCAAGGCATTCTGGTCGCAGATTGCTACCCTTGTCCAGCAGATTACGGGTGTGTCCCTCCCGTTTACTCCTGCGGCGTATCTCCTCCACCTGACACCGCTATTGCGGAAAATGTATAAACGATCCCTACTGATCCACCTATTGAATGCGGCTCGGGCGTGCATCCCGGCATTGTGGAGGCAGACCCGTCCGCCCTCGGTGGCGATGTGGGTGAAGAGAGTGGAGGAGATTAGGCTGATGGAGGACCTGACATCCGCAATCCGTAAGACCCAAAACAAATTTGTTGCTACCTGGGCAGCATGGTACGTGTTCAGGGATTCCTCAGCGTTCCCCCAGGGCAGCCAAGGGTGAGCTATTTGGAGAAGATGCCAGCAAGAGGGTGGCACCGGTGGACCGGGACTTGGACGTTGTCTCCCCCCCCCCGAATGTCTTGTTGCCGTGTACGTGTATTCTTCTGTTCTTTGTGTTCAGTGTTTGTTTCCCCACTCTCCTGAGATTGCCGTGGATCCGTCCGCGCGGACCGAGGGAGAGTATCCCTTGGAGAGTTGGTGTGTTATTACTGTTTATCCATAAGTGTTATGTAAGAAAAAGGGAAAAGTCATGGGAGTACAGATGCAGATCCGAGAGTTGTGAGCTGTAAGCGAGCGAATTAAGGGGGCGGACCGGGCTGGAAGCTAGTGAACAAGATATTCTGAAGCTGTATACAAATGTATGACCAATGCCTGGCCGCACGGCCCAGATGTATATACGGTTCTGTGTATGTGCTCTTATGTTTGCAGAAATAAAGAATTAAAAAATAAATAAATAAATATATAAACTGCATGTCCAAAAAAAGTTACCACCTGGATTTAGCTAAGCACATAGTATATAGCCTTCCATTGGATAATAGGTTTAGGTTCAGCAACATTATGTCCCCAAAAATGAGGTCAGTTGCCTCCCTGAATATACTGAACAACCAGGTTTTTCCGTCAATAGATTCTTGTCTTGCCTGATAGCACGGGCATATTCCAATATGACAATGCCAGGATTCATGGGGCCCAAATTGTGAAAGAGTAATTTAGGGAGCATGAGACAGCATTTTCACACATGGATTGGCCACCACAGAGTCCAGACTTTAACCCCATTGAGAATCATTTGGATGTGCTGGAGAAGACTTTACACAGTGATCCGACTCTCACATTATCACTACAAGATCTTGGTGAAAAGTGAATGCAACTCCGGATGGAAATAAATGTTGTGACATTGCTTAAGCTTGTTGAAACGATGCCACGGTGAATGCATGCCATAATTCAAGCTAAAGGCAGTCCAACAAAATAGAGCTTTAACAGGTTAGTGTAACTTCAAAAGTGATTTTTAATATTTGCATCTTCCAATAAAATAATAGCTGGTCATCCTGCCATGAGGGTCTTTGTTCAGGCACGTACTGTTATAGGGTGACAACGCTGTGTTTCTGTTCCCTGTTTGTTCTCCTGTATTGTCACATGGGCTTCATATCCACTGTAATAAAGGTCCACTGTTATCACCACCACTGTTGCCACCATCAGGAAATCCACCCTAAGAAATGCTATGCAGCTATTACTAGAGCGCATGCATAGAGAATGGAATTGGCTGAAAATTGTCAGCTGGAGATGATCAGCATTGTGATGCAACTAAAGGTGAATGAAAATTAAATCAAGTATTTATTTCAAACAAATGACGTGTTTATGATACACAGTGTTCTAGAAAATTAAATTTCATTCACTTATCACCTATTAACACTTGTAGTTTGCTATTTATTAAAACCCATCATCATTTTCTAAGTGTTTTATTAATTGATGTCTGCAAACTCTCTTAGCTCGCATTCACACCTAGACGTCACAATTTTTGCACGTATTTATGCACATTTTTTCACATCCTTCACATGAGCATTTGTGTACATGTCTGAAACGTGTACATTAAGTCATGCATTTCAGCTGGCAGATAAATGCTGAGACATTGGTGTAAATGGGCAACATGGGTACATGCGCACAAAAACGCACACAGTTTCTTGTGTCACACGTTTCCTATTGAGTCTTTGGTGAAAAAACGCGCTGTGGACTGCCTAAAGAAGCTTGTGTACTTTTTCGAGAGTCTGTCATTTTACAGCTTCCGACAAAGTGTTCAGGTGTAAACAGAGGCCATAGGGATGAACATGATTTCTTGTTTTGAGCATTTTGTCGGGCACAGTTTTGTGTGACAAAATGCCTAGGTGTTTATGGCCAACAGGCTTTAAAGGGCCAATAAGAGGGCTTTATTATAAAAGGGGAGAGCAGCCATTGAGTCAGTGTATTGGAAGCTGGTATATTTATAGGGAGAGATTACAGACTCTTAGGAAACTGTACTTTATTTCTGACTGTTAGCTCTTTGGGCAATTAAACCTTTTGCTGCTTTTTTTGTTCTTACTATTGGGAGCTTTTTAAAATGTTGTTTAGTGGTGAACTTGCCATCTCATCCATAGCAAACTTTGATTTTTTTGCTGCAAGGCTTCCCCAAAAAACGGGCTTTTGTTTCAGGGGGTATTATTGTAAGGGCTTCTGTAAAAAAAAACGTAGGCCTTTGTTTGGGGGTGTTATTTTGAGGTTTTTATTTCTTTTGAAAGTTTCTTCTTTTTATTTTATGTTGATAGAACCTTTTATAAATTTCGTGTGCTAAAAGCACAGCATTCACATTATGACTACCTGTTCTTGCCATTTGTTTGCAGCACACTGCTACATAATGTAAAAAAAAAGGCAAGAATAGTGTGCACCTAAACCAAATCATATTATATCATATTAACTGCACTGCCCTATCCCCCCAAAAATAAAAAAAAGTTAGGCACACACCAGTTAGGCCTGTTATTATCCCTGATTAAAGATGCCCTGCTGCTGGCCAATTTTACACTTGCACTCAACTAAACATTCTGATCCTTTATTAAATATCAGATGAACAGTTCACATGATGCGCACGCTATTGCTTTTCAGCCACACTTGGCCTTAGTCATAGCTATGCTTTGCTGTGACTAAGGCCTTGTGTGACTGAAACACATGGCCTTAGTCAATATTTCCAGTTCATGCATAATATCGGGCTACAGGTTGAGTGGGTCTCCAAAGCTCTTTTGTGTATCCTCTGCAGTATCTTAATTCTTCTAGTAAAGCTCCAGCTTGAGCTCTTTTTCTCTAGTACATTTCAGACAATTTGCCCTCATTAAGAATGTCCTGTTGCTGGGTAATTTTCCACTGCTGTACTAATTCTTAATGAGAGTTTCATAGAAATCAGCCAGAACAGGGACAGCCTCAGCGAACTACTGGCCAATTCTATGTCAGTCAAAGCGGGATTATTACTGCTTGATGGAAAAAGTATGTGCTGCTGCTAAAACTACCAGAAAATGCTTTTTAAAACTGAAATGATTGGGGTGTTGCTGCGTTATGTTAGCCAAGCGAATTGTTAGGCGTACAAATCACACACAGCACCTGTCCTTCCCAGGAGCTGCCCGATACGGCCGTGCACGCAGCACGGAGCTATTTGTGCCGGCCGTTTCTCCTGTGAATGAGGCCTAAAAGAAAAAAAATCAATTCCACAGCCAAATATGCACTGACAGTGTGAGCTGTCCCTGAGACTGTCAGTGAATATTGTGCTGTTCAGTAACACTATGTACAGCTTTAAAACATCCCTTAAGCATGTTATTTAAAGAATTCTGCTGGAAACGAAAACTTGTAAACTTCAAGGAGCTGCATCCATTAAAAATGGGTTAATCAGCAATTGAAACATTTTTAAAGCATTTTAATAAAAATACTGAATCTAGGAAGTAATTACACAATCGGCAAATTACAATCAGGCCAATCCAGAATTTAGATGGTCTTTAGGTCTGCACTGCACTCTTCTCTTTGTCATGTTTACCTAAAGCAGTGGGTGCCACACAAAGGGCCTTTATAAAAGACACTCACACCACCTACACTGCCCTGTCTCTATTTTAAGGACACAGTGCCTGAAATCCCATTATAAAGAGAAAATCCACCTGTCCTGTGGAAAACAAATAACTTCTGGCATTTGCATTTACCTGATGCAGCACAGATAACGCTCTCTTTACAGTACTACTACTAAAGAGGCATTGTTTGAAGTCGAAGGACCCCTGCTGTCATTATCACCTCTTTCCCTAGAACTCATTGATTTATGGGTTGTTAGTCCAGTGGAATGGCACTAAAATGTACAACAGCTTAGCTAGAGGAGGAGCGAATCCACATTGAATCATTAATTATACCTCACTGACACATCCAGCCTAGCCTAAAGCATATCTATATTTAAAGTCAATATAAAAAAAATGACGCAGATATTACGCATTTAAAAGAAGCGCTTCAGGTATTCCAAAACTTTATTAGTGAATAAATCTTTAAAGTGGACATTAAGGAGGAACTCCAGGAATCTAAAAAGTTAACCCTTGTTACAGTTGGGCTACCCCCGCACTGTAAGAGTTAACTACTAATTTTTCTCTAGGGGCTCAAATAGAAGAAATATACTCTGATCTGATATACCTGATCCTCAATTCCGCTTGGCTGCTAGACCAGTCCGCACAGCCTCTTCTCACCCGGTGTAAGGCAGCTGCAGGTTGTGCAGGAATTTCTGTGCATGCACGAAATCCCATTCTGCACACTATGGGGAAACATGCGCTAGTGCACAGGCGCTCACAATGGAACTTGTGCAGGAAGTCGCACTAACTGGCTGGCGCACTGCATGTGATGTAATTTCCATTGATAGACTGGTCTATATAAGCAAGCCTGCTCTGCTCACATGTGTTGAATGGTCTTCAGCTAGTGTCCTCTGATCCTGCTACCTGATCTTGCTCCTTTCCTGTGTTTGACCCGGATTGCTTTGTTACCTCTCCTGTTATTGCTGCCTGCCTTTTGACCTCAGCCTGTTATCGGACTCTGCCTCTGCCTTTAAACCTCCACTGCCAGGCTGGTTTGACCCTTGGCTTGCCCTGACTTTGTCTCTGCTTCCTGTCCTGGTACCTCGCTGTCTGTCTGGCTTGACTATGTCTGACCTGCTTCTGGATTCGGCTTCAGGACTGATACCCAGCACAGTGTCTGCACCACTATTGGGACTCATGCTACTCTCTGTCCGCTGATTCTTTGTCTCCATCTCCAGGGGTGTGGGACAAGAGGCGCAAGGGGTGCCTCCTCATCCATTCGGTCTCCAACCAGGTACATGATATCCAGACTCTGATTGTCTAAACCTCACTGACATCATCATGTCTAATACAGTTCATTAAATTGCATTAGACTGAGGACGCGGAGGAACATACTGCAGAGGGAGAGAGAGGGAATATATTTCTTATTCCTGCCCCTAGAGAAAAACAAGCAGTTAACCCTTGCAATGTGAGGGTAGACCACCTGCAAGGGTTACTTTTTGCATACCTAGAAGTCTTCTATAAAGTCATTTACATATTTACATATATGTACAACTGCAGCACACATGCCAAAGCTGGCAAGTTTACTGCTGTCTGATGGCTGCCTGTAATTGTGTTTGGGAGATTCAATCTCAGTTTTTGTCCAGGAGAATGCTATTACTGTGACAGAAAATGACACCGCCAAAGTATCCAGCTAAAATATCCTCACCATCTCTTCTTCTCTTCCTATGGGGGAGATGTATTCCTGCAACCCATCCGAATATGGCTTACCTATAGAAATAAATGGGCCCGCAGCACATGTGCACACTAAGAAGAGCCAACAGGGACATTTCCACTGCAAAGACAGTTAGGTGTAAGGCAAGGCCGCACAGTGAAGATTGCTAGAATGGAGAGTCAAGTAAGTATTTAACATGGCAGGTGATGAATTGTGTGGTGCGATGCAATCCACTGTATTCCACCTTGCTGAGGCTGATAGAACTGAATGAAATGTCATTTTGTGACATCTCAATAAAGTTCTAACAAACAATTGTGCAAAGGATGGAAAGTGCTGATCGAATCAGAAGAATCAGTGATTTGTAAATTGTTGATCTGTCTGCTCTGCAAACAATTTAGCAATATATGATAAATGAACGATCCACAAAGTGGATAAATCCACATTGGATATATTCAGGCTAATAAAAATAAGTGCTATTCCTTGATTGCGTAATTTGGAGATGGATCACTATGAACAAGTTTCTGCAGACTACCCCTTTGTTCTACTAGCTTTGCATTCGTCACTCTTTTGAAATTAGATAAGTAAACAAAAGGTACACTCCTCTAAATTACTATAATTGCTACTGATTTGCTGTAAACTAATTGGTCATCTACAAATTAAGATAATTGTTCCCAGAAAGATCTTGTAGTTGTAGAAAAGGCACTGTTAAGTGATCTCAAGGAGCAAAAATGGATCTTCAATTTGCTGTAATCAGGTCTTAATCTACCACCTTCAATAGTGGGCCAGTGCCGCCTAGGACAGTGGGATAAGGGGGGTAGTGTGACGGTAATGAGGTCTGGGCACCCCAATACTAATTAGAAAAAGTCTCACCATGATGATCATGACCATGAATTGAATGATGACCATGAAGTGATCCTAGGGCAATGTGACATCTAAATACATACCTGATTGCTGTAACACATTAGTATTTGTTCTATGACAAACTTACTAGCATGGAAGTTTCTGTACTAGCATGTTGTAACACACGTTATCTAATATGTTCAGGGCACGTTCAGTATAGAGCCACACTAATGCTACAGTCAGCTTCTCAATGAGGTTACAAATGTGTTATTGTACATCCTTTTATCTGTGAGAAGCCACTGTTTAAATTGAGTGGTCACACAGTTTACAATTTTATTTGTAAAAGTAAATCTTCCATTGTACACAACA